ACAAAGGTCCTGCCCTCGCACGCACACCCCCAGGTCCCGCCCTCGCACGCACACCCCCAGGTCCCACCCTTGCACATGCACACTGGTCCCACCCTCACACGTGCACACACAGATCCTGCCCTCACACGCGCACCCCCAGGTCCCACCCTTGCACATGCACACTGGTCCCACCCTCACACGTGCACACACAGATCCTGCCCTCGCACGCACACCCCCAGGTCTCACCCTCGCGCACACACCCCCAGGTCCTGCCCTTGCACGTGCACACACAGGTCACACCTCCGTGTGCACAAATCCCGCCCTCAGACGTGTGCACACAGGTCCTGCCCTTGCACGATCAGGTCCTGCCCTCAGATGCAGGCAGGTCCCGCCCTTGCACCCCCGGGTCCCGCCCACACTCAGCCATCCACACACGCACACACCAACGTGCGCCCAGACACACGTATACACGCGTGTGCGCTCACCGGCGATCCAGCCCAGGGCTCTTCCTCTTCCCGGGGGGCAGCTCCCACCGGCATCTGCTCCAGCTTCAGGATCGTGGCCCGAATCGCCTGGGGGGCAGGGGAATGAGAAGGGGAGGGAGGTGCCCCTTCCCCAGCAGCTCCCCTCCGCCCGTCCCCCCCGGAGCCCAGGACCCTCCCCACTGATGGGGGGGGCAGGAGAGAGGTGACCCTGAGCTGAATTCCCCCCTACCCCCCCCGGATCGACCCCATGCTGGGGCAAGGGGGACGGTCCCAAAGCCCCCCACGTACCTGGATCCAGTCGTGTTTCTCCTCCTCCGTCCTAAAGGGCAGAAACAGGAACACGGGGGGCGTTAATGGGGGGTGGGGTAGACGGGGGGGAGGGGATAACCAGGCTGTGGAGGGAGGCAGAGGGGACACCAGGCTGGGGGGGACCGTGTGGAGATACCAGGCGGGAAGGGCAGGGGGGATGCCAGGCGGGGTGGAGACTGGGGGCGGGGGGCAGGGCAGATACCGGGGGGAGGGGCGGGGGGAGATGATGCAGGGGGGGGGACTCCCAGGGGAGCAGGGGGGATACAGGGGGGAGACGAGGCAGGGTGGCGGGGGAAAACCAGGGAGAGGCAGGGGGGATATCGGGGGGCACAGGGGGGATACCGGGGGG